GGGGGGGGGGGGGAGGACCCCCAATTTCTGGAAAAACCAGAAATTGCCAGGGGATGCACGACGTCAGTGCGCACCCCCCGATATTTTTTTTTTTTTTTTCGATTTGTTTTTCAATTTTTTTTATTTTTTTTATTTTTTTTTTGCGTTTTTTTTTCCGGGGTCGGGGGTGCCGACCCCTGACCCCCGGGACCCCCGCCAGGGCCCCGGGCCCGGGGGTTGACAACCCTGCAGGCAGCCACCGGTCATATGGGCTTCCACAAGACGTTGGCTCGTGTGAGCCGCCTGTACGTCCGGCCGAAGTGCAAGGACTTTGTGAAGGACTACGTCGCAGAGTGTCCCACCTGTCAGGAGGTGAACAGTGCGAACCACCTGCCTTATGGTTTGCTCCAACCTCTTCCTATCCCTGAGGGTCGTTGGCAGTCCATCTCGATGGATTTTATTGGTCCTCTTCGCCCTCCGACCCCCAGCGGTCATGATGCCATCCTGGTCGTCGTCGACCGCTTCACGAAGCATGCACGCTTTGTTCCGTGCCGCTATGCCATCAGTGCACGTGAGGTCGCCGACATCGTATTTGACCGAGTCGTGCGTGACCACGGCTTACCTCTGAGCATCATATCTGACCGTGACCCGCGCTTTACCAGCCGATTCTGGTGACGGCTCCACGAGGTATATGACACTCAGCTCCGCTTCTCCTCGTCTTACCATCCACAGACTGATGGTCAGACCGAGATCACGAACAGGACTCTCGGAGATATCCTCCGAAAGATTCTTCGTGACGACCAGCAGTGGGATCTCCATCTTGCCCACGCGGAGATAGCCTACAACCACTTTGTCTCGCCAGCCACGGGGATGTCGCCTTACTATTGTGACCTCGGCTATCACCTGCGTGTTCCCGTGGACTTCCTTCGACCATCCCAGTTGCACCCCGACACGAGTTGTCCCGCGCTGGATGATTGGGTTGCACACATGACGTCGATCATGAAGACCGCACATGAGCACATAGCCGCTTCCCAGACTCGCATGGCAGCACGTGCGAACCGATCGAGGATGGATCATCCATTCAAAGTCGGTGATGATGTGCTTATCGACGGCCGCCACTTACAGCTCGAAGCGGACACTCTTCGCAAGTTTCGGCGCCGCTTCTTTGGCCCATGCCGCATCCTCCAGGCCGTCGGTTCTGATACGGTATCTAGCCCGGTCAGCTTCCGTGTGAAGCTGCCCGACTACCTACGCCAAGCTCGTGTGCACGATGTCTACCACGTCTCGTTACTGCGTCCTTACCGCAGACCGTCTGAGCGTTTCGYTGGACGACCATACGAGCGCCCTCCACCCATCATGGTGGACGGYCACGAGGAGTTCCTYGTTTCAGACATCATTGGTCGCCGAGTCACYGACGACAACCCTCCCCACGTCGAGTATCTCGTACGTTGGAAGGGTTACCCTGATGAGGAGGCTACCTGGGAGCCCCTCGAGCACTTGCAGCACGCTCGCATGTTGGTGCGTGCCTATGACCGTGCTCGTCGTGCTGRGTTCACTGCTCCTCCTYAGCCCACTGACCCTCCTCCTTCTCCCCCGGCTGAGGAGACCGCTGAAGTCGAGCCTGCTCCATCTGAGGCAGACCTTCAGCAGCAGTCGGATGCTTTTGAGCGTCCACAGCGCACTCGTCGTCGTCCAGCTCGATACGACGATTGACTCTGACTTACCTTCCCACGTCCTTGACTTCTCTGTACTCCATCCACTCCAGTTTTGTTACTTCAGCTCGTCGACGTTGCGGCTCTTCCTCGACGGCATTCCGGACTTCTCATCGTGGACGTCATCGGCACCTTCATGGACTTCGTCACGATCAGCTCTGCCTACTTCAGACGTCGCCACTCTCTTACCACTTTACCTGTACAGTACCCTGCTTGTGTCGCATGATGGTCTCCCTTTAGCCGGGTTCCTCTGAGTTGGGCTCTCCCTTGGTATACGCATAGGCATCGGGACCGTAGCGTTGCCCTGGCTTCCCATCTTACGGATCTAGCTCCGACTTCCCCCACTTAGGGGTCATTTGCGTGATTCCCTTCCCCATCACCTTTCTACCCTATGTCGGCCCTCACGCCCTAGTTAGGCAGCCCCGCATGCTTCATCTAGGTGCGCCCAGTATACCACGCTCCCTTGTTCCCTTGCATGGTCGACCCTCCATAGCGGTCACCCCTTAGTCGAGCTTTACCCGCCCTGATGGTCTATCTGTTAGGGTCATTGGTTCTGTTCGCTCCCAGTTCCCTACCCTCATTGAGCCTGATGACATGTGTTCCCCCTGTCACTATGTGTGGATCCCCTTAGGAGTTTTCGACCCCTAGGCTGCATTCGCCACCCTCAGAGACCATCCCACCCTTTGGTTTACGACACACCTCTCCTGTGACATATGGTTGACTTGTTGTTGCTTTGTTGCTCTCAGACCGAGGCTACTGCCTCTAACATTTCTAGGATTTAGTTGTTCTGTTTTTGCTGTTCTTAGGACTTTACACTAGTCTGTTGTTCCCAGACTGAGGCTACTGCCTCCAACATTCTAGGATCTAGCTGTCACTACTTTGTGCTTCTTAGGACATGTATGCTTGTTAGTTGCTTCTGCTTTCCTAGGACATGTATGCTAGTTAGTTGCTTTTGCTTTCACTTAGGCTGTTAGTGGTGACATTGTTGTTTTGTGACATTTTCTATCCTAGGTTGCATCGCATGGACTCAACATGGAGCTTGCTCCACATCCTAGACTACTCAGGTTTTCTTTTCTTTGGTAGAGTTCCGCTTCTTGGCGGAAGCGTGCTTGTATCTAGGCGATCCATCACAGGCCGAGGATTGTGTAGCGGACCTCGGGTGGGCCTGTGAGACCAGCCCCTTGGCTTGTTCTCACAGGCCTGTGTTCTATTCGGGGGCAGTCCAGGCTGGTACCTCTGTCGGTACCAGCCAGTCCAGTCCAGTCCGGTCAGTCCGTTGGGGTATACCCCAACAGTTGTGCGTTGGAGTCTTGCATGGGGAGCTGCGTTGTGCCAATCGCTCCCCCCTTCTTCCTCCATCTCCATCTCTATCACTCGCGGAGCACCACACCTGGTGGGTCCGCTACATTGCATCTGAGAACAGACACAAACGACCATCCGAGTTTCAAGTAGGCGAACGAGTCTGGGTAAAATCATCTGAGTTGAGGTAGGTTTTAGGAATCTCACTTAAAGTGATGCCACAGTACCTTGGCCCCTGGGAAGAGGACTATTGAAGTAAAGAAGGAGGGAGTGCGAGGGTATGACCCCTCGGCATATGGCCCTGCAGCAGGTGCGTGCCCGCCCTAAGTGAAGGCGGGCCCCCTGAATCTCAACGCACCTTGAACTCGTCAATTTTTTGCAAATCTTGGTCGACGCCAGACAGATGCCACGCGCCAGTCTGTCACATCTGCCTTGCACGTGAGAATGGGAAAGATTCGTGAGCCTTCCGGGCCCTTCCAGCAACGTGGGGTAAGCAGGGAGCATCGCACGACCATACCTGGGTGGCTGGGCTTGCGTAAACAAATCGGTCCCAGATCGCTGTCTGAACGGGCCTGGGCGCAGACACCATGACCGAGACCGAAGCTACTGTGAACTCGGTCTCACGTGGGTGTGGCCAGGAAAAGTGCCCGCCACTTTCCATATAGGAAAGGGCAGAGCGCCAGGACGGGCATTCGTGGACTTGCACTTGTGGGCGGCAGCGCTGCTGGAGCATCGACTCGCGGGCTGTTTGCTGCGCTAGCGGAGACGCACGAGCGCACATGGGCGTCAAGTGGAAACAGGGCGCTGCTGAGGGCAGTGCCATAGCCCAGCCCGTCATAGCCGAGCTTCGGGCTTGGATAGTCAGCGGGAGGTGGTGGTCTTCGTGTATGAGGTGGAAGGTGTGAGTAGAGAAGACGAGAGAGAGAGAGAGAGAGAGAGAGAGAGAGAGAGAGAGAGAGAGAGAGAGAGAGAGAGAGAGAGAGAGAGAGAGAGA